AATAAATATAGATATTTACACATTAGAACAACATCTTCATTTAATGGATGTGGAAAAAATGTTAATATGTGAACATTTTAATGATGAAGTGGTTTGGCCTTCAGAGCTTTTGTTACTCTATTAAAAGTTAATTTAGGACAGAAATTATGGCTTTTTCTTGAATCCCAACCCCAAAGGATTAAATCATGATCAAGACTCACAACATTTTTCAAAAAAGTTAATCTGGTGATGGTATTTCCAGAGGCTGGATACTGAAACTACTGTGCAGTTCTCTCTGAAAAAAAGCCTCCTCTGGCTTCTTTTATGCGCTCACAGTAGTGACATAGACGTTTTAGGGCAGTGGAGCTGAGTGCTAGTGAGGTGGTTTCATCAATCTTTCTGTCACCACACATTTTATATTATTAGGATATGTTTCTTGTTTACAAACACAGGAAGCAACTCAAATTGCTCTTTCTCAAAAAGGTGTTCTACATCACAGAAGTGATTTGCTTAACCACTAGTAATAAATTTCATCACCTTTCCCCACATTTATAGATCCTCCTGATTCAAGGACATCAGAGAGTCTGCTCTGACCTCCTGTATGTAACTGGCTACTGAAGTCCACCAGTGATCCCAATAACCTGAGTTCCACCAAAGCACAAATCTTCCTTCTAGCCAGAATACCAGAAAGCAGTCACTTTCAGTCAGAAGGCGTGAGGAAGCAAGTATTCTACTTTTTGTATGGTAGTTAATTCCAGAAGTTGTGCTTCACTTCTTTTCTCGTTTGTCTCGTTTCAGCTTTCTCCTTAAGAAAGTTTTTCTTCTTCCTTAATCCAGTCCCCTCTTTATTCAGAAACAATCCAGCTCCTAGAAGTGTCTCAGACTCATCACAAGATCCCTTTAGGAATAGCCACAGTAGTTTAAAATTTTTCCTTCTGTCAGTTATTCAGCACTGTGAATTATTCTGGCTGAAGAGACAGAGATTACTAGCATCATGGCTACACCAAATTAACGCATCATATGAGCACTCCCTGTATGCTTCACTCCTCAGTCCACTGGCTTAGTTTGTGTTGCTATAGGAAACTGTCACTCCAGCTGCTGGGAGTAGTAAATTCCTAAACCTTTCCGTTGCATTTGAAAATTACTCTGCCTTTGCCATACTATAACTTGCTCCAGCTCTTGAAGCATTTTGACCATTCTTTTCTCCCACTTTTAATATTAATTTTATAAGAAACTACAGAGTCTTGCTCCCTTACTGATCTTAATAGTGCCATATCAATGGTAAAACCCCTTTCTAAACCTCCACCCCACTGTGATTTATATATACGTTAATACATATCCCTTTTTTATCTATTCTTTTTATCACAGCAACATAAGCTCTACCTGTCTTTTTTCCCCAGTCAATGCTCTTTTTGATACTTTACCCTGCTGTAAATGTTCTTTCTTTTTATACGTATAACTTATCATGTGGCTGTTAAGTAACATATTCTTTATTTGAAAAGGTCCAGCTTAAGGGATCGAGATGTGTCTCTGTGGCTCTGCCAATACTCTAGGAAGTGTGCCCACTGCCGTAACTGCTGCCCCTCTTGCCCTGATCAGATACTACGTTCTGTTTCAGTGGAACAGAAATACAACACTCCCAATAAAATCTGAAAATCATATTCAATTACAAAAATAACTTAAGGTCAGATTTCTACAAATCTTGTTCTCACAAAGCAGCTTAAATATATGAACCTTACCAAATTTAATCAGGATTACTCACATTACGGATTCAAATGCATATTCTAACAGCACATTAACTTCAGGCTTTTCTGTATACTCCAAATTCCCTGTATATCCCAATTCCACGTTACTCCAAGCTCTGAATCCTGTCTGTTGTTTTCAGTGTGTCTGAAAAGACGATAGATGAACCCAGTCTGAAAGACTGAAAGTAGAAGCTCCAAATTATTTGCAACCTTGATCCTCCTCCAAATTTTGTACCCTATCCAATCTCCATAAAATATCAGACTAAACCTTTACAGCAAAAATATTGTCAGTAATGCAATTATTTTTCCAAATATTAAAATTTCCATCACTTGGACTTATTTCTATAAATTATCCCCTTGTACATCAAGCTGTTTTCTACCAGCACATACTTCTTCCTGTTAATGTGATGTGAAGACTAAAGAAATGTTGTTCAGTTTTCATGGCGAGTTTTCAGCCGGCAGCAGTTTATTAATAATTTCTTTCAGGCTTTTTCCAATGGACTCAATATGGAGAGAAAGAACAGTCAAGATTAAAAAAAAAAAAAAGGCAAATTAAAAACACAGAAGGGGAAAATAGGAAAAACACATGAAAAACAGCAGTTGATGATGGCAGTAAAAGAGAGAGAGGCAAAAAGCATACCCATGCAAGGGAAAATGCAAAGCTGAAAAAGAGAGGCATGATTAGAAACTCTGTTATGAAGGTGAAACCTCGGTGCAGGATCTATAAAAATCCAGAGATATTTGTATAATATAAAGTAATAATAATGAGAAATTAAAGAACATTAAAATGTGAAAAATACAAGTTAAATAATGAAATTAGAAAGAAAACCGGTAAAAAAAAAAAAAATATATATATATATAGCGACAGCTCTGTTATGAACTAGCGTTCTGTTTTTATGTGATGTAAAACCAAGCACGTGGAAGACAGAGATAAGGAAAATATAGGCAGAGGGAAGTATCTGCTGAGACAGAAATGTGAGACTAAGTAAGTACAGAAACATAAACATTAGGGGGAAAAGAGATACAAAAAGTGGATTCAGTGTGAAATACTGGGCCCATTTAAACCAGCAGGACTTGCTGTTTAAGGCAATCTTTCTCTTTCACTTCAAATATTCCTTATGAAAGAAGAATCTATTTCTGATATCTTCCTACATATTTTCTCATACTTTTAATAGCTTACAATTATTTCACAGCCAAAGAGACATGATTTATATTCTAAAAAAAAAGACGGTTTACAACCTCAAAAAGAAGAAATAACAAATAAAGGGCAAACTTCCTACCTGTGTGAGCAGAACACAAAAAGTAGGTTTGTGGAGTTGTATTTTTAGCTCAGATCCCGACTGTGCATTCGAAGTCAATCTCCTGATCATACCACACTTTGGTTCATATTGTGTAACAGACTCTGAACGTGCAAAATGGATTCTTTTGGAATAGCAGATGAGCACCAGAAGTGTGGCTAATACACCTCAGCCACCATTTAGCATTTACTTCTTGGGGCCAGACTACAGCCAACCCAAACTAAAAGTTCCTGAGATGCGCCCTGTCCTCAGCACCAATTGTTTTGCCCTACTCCTTCAGGCTGCGCTACTTGCTAATTTAGACACAGTAAGTGCTTACAGGAACACAAATTAAATCGGTAAAAAGTCCATCGCATAGACACTTTAGACAGTGTTATTACAGCGAATTTTGCATCTTTATCAAATTCCTACTTTATGAGTCCCAACTGCTATTTCATTGTTTTTGTCACTTAGCAGTGAAATGTATTATAAGATCCATTGGTGGAAATGATGCACAACAGCCAAGTTCCAGCAATGATAGCTGACCTTTCATGGGCGTAATTACATTGCATCTAAATAATTTAAATAAACAGCTAAAGCTACTCAGTTGAAAATGGCATTTTTATTGAGACAAATATTATTCCTATAGAAAAAAATATTAACTGGTTCTTTTCTGAACCTGTGCTGTGGTCCCGATTGTGCTTTCTATGGCCGACAGAGCAGATCCTGATTCTCTTAATTGTGAGGTCTGGAGTCACTGTTCTTTTATAATTGCTTTTGTGAATTGGGAATGATTTGTTTAAACATTTATTGGGCTAGTGTATTTTCTGAAAGGCAAAACAGCATTTTTGTTTATAAAATATTTGCAATAGAAGGCAGTTACTTGACATTTAGAGTTTAAATGTGGTTTATATGTTGAGTCTATTATGTCTAATGTACAAGTGGATGGACTCCATCTCTACCAGCGCTGGAGTTGGAGGAGAAAGAACGAATACACACATACCCATGTGCACCCCTCCCCACACATAGCTGCAACTAAAGAAGAAGGAAGGAGGGAATGGAAGAAAAACATGGTTCTCCTTCTGAACTGGTGGTAACCCATCCATAGACCAGTAAATCCTCCTGATTCTACAGGAGCGACTGAACATTAATGGCAGGGGGGATAAATGCCTATCTGTGTATCTCAGGGTAATCTGTTTACACATTTCACACAGCAGAAAACACCACAGAAGTTAATGCTCTTTTCCAGCTCTCAGTCCCTTTCTTCCTTCTGAGGTGGTAAGGATGGCAGAAAGAACCAAGGTGGCAAAGGCAAATTCTCCACAGGGCAAGGCTATATCATGTCATGATGAAATCAAGTTACAATGTCATTTCTTAAACAAATCCATAAACAATAGTGTTAGTCCTCCTATAGTGTACGCTATTGGTTGCTACCTCACAATCTCAGTGCTGGCAGCAGCACGTCCGTAGCAAGGCCCGAAGTGCTGAGCTTTAGACACAGCCCAGCGGGACTGGAAAGACCCGCAGATGCCTGAGGTCAGGTGAGCGCGTACTGTGCTCTGCCGCCTCTCACAGCATGCTTAAACTACAGCCAGCAGGCCAAGTACTACATAAAATTATGCAGAAACAAAAGACTTCAGTGCAGTGTTATGTGTACATTTTTAGCAGATGCAGATCCAACTATTCCTGATCTCAGTTGCTTTTTTTTTCCCCTCATGCTTTATTATTTCTTTTAGGGATTTCTTTATTTGCCAAAAGGCTTATAGTACACCCAAAGAAAATATGGCATACTACTGGGGCACTGTAAGATATGCAGCAAAACAAATAACTGTAACACATAAAAGGCACTGCAGATCGAAGTGGCTAGTATTAAGGAAGAACCCGAATGCCAGTAAATCCTGACTTACTGGGATAGAATGGGAAAGTCTTTGTTTTGGTATTTTGAAACTGAAAAAACAAATAAATAATTCAGCTAAAGTGCAACAAGCATTTGACTAACCTTATAAAGCAAAGGTGATTGTCCTAGCTTCAAAAGTGCAATTTTTTTGGTCACGTTTGTAATGGCTTGAATCCGGATCAAGTCTTCCACAGTCCCATACTGTATATCAATAAGTTCTGCCTGCAAAGAGAAGACAAAGTTCAGGCTATACCTATAACCATGCATCATTGAGGGTGCTCCTTCCACAGAAACAAAGCTGTTTGCATAAGTACAAGCACCTGAGCAGAGTTCTGCAATTACCTTACCCCCACTTCCTAATCAGGAATACCTGTAATAACAGAGAGCTTGAGAATTCAATCTGACAAATAAATTTATACCTTTGCCATTTTCATTCATAATTCATCAGCTGTGATAAAAAAACAATTTTTTTTGCCAGTGGTTATAGTAAGTGGTGGTGATTCTGATAAGAATTTCCCCTCGTTAGCTACAGGAATGTATTTAAAACCATGTAAGGGATACTAACTTCTGTTAATTTTCTTAAAAGGAATCAGTGTCTTGTAAAGCATTTCAGAAAATGAGTCAATGATTACACTGGTCACTTATGAAAATATACAGATAATACATACTCTCCCAAGACATAGTTTAATTATGTGGTCTCATATGATTCCTGAGCAGCCCACCCTAACTATTGAAGTATTTTCTTATAGTCCATCAGTTATCCAAGCATTATACTCAGACAACCATAGTGAAACCAGACTACACTGCTCTGATGCGTAAATTTTTCAATTAATACATATTTTAAAATTCTTTAGAGTTACTTCCAACTAAAATAAAAGTGTTTAGAGCATGAAGATCTTCAGCTCTTCAGTTAGGACACTGCAAGAATATGTAGTAAAGGTCTAAGTTATTATTAAATGTCAAGCATTGGCAGTGATGGAAAAATACTGTCCAAAAAAGACATGTTTTCAAGGATTTAAAAAAAAAAAAAAACAAACCACACAAAACTATGTATAATTTAAGAATGACCAAGGGCATTTTTCTCACACATTTATAGCAATAAATTCTGGTAAAGACCAAGTATGAGGATAATCAGTCTTGTACATTATTATTTTAGAATGTTATGAAGCTCTCAGAACACCATCGAGGACATTTGGAACCTCTAAATCCCTACACAGTGTTCACATAAAACACAAATACAAGAAGACACGAGAATATTACATGAGTGTTTAAAACTTAAAATAAGAGGAGCAGTACAAGATGGAAAAGTTTCTCTTTCCGTTCATTTTCAGTAACTTAAGTATGGATTCATTGCCAAAGGCAACAGTTCTGATTTTGGGCGTCTCTACACAAACTGTTAAAATTCTACCAACAGTTGTTCTGGATATGTAGGATGTGTGAAATTTTACTAGATTCCTGAACACGGGTATTTTAGGAAAGTATTTACCCTTCTACAACTGTATCTGAATATTTTGTCTGAGTTTGCACCTCAACATTTAAGTTGAAATCATAAAAATATTTTGCCAAGGTTTCTGTCTTCTTAAATGTATTCTTTTAAATTGACAAGTTAACAAGTTTCTAAGTCTGTAACATGTCATCAGTGCTGTATAAGCCAAGTATTTAGAAAGGTCAGCCAAAGTTATAAAACAGTTCTGGAACAGGCAAACATCAGAGTTAACACCAAATACTGAAATGTAGGAACAGAAAATCTTGCACTCCATACAGTTTCTTCTGAAATATGTGGGGTTTTTAATATCTAAAGAACTTGAAAACTATTCCATAAGAAAATTCAAATGGTCACTACAGGCTGAAATCCAATATAAATTTTTTCCTATGTGATCATCGTATTTGGAAAGTATGATAAGATCAAGTGAAGAAGTTTTTATACTAGCAGAAGCTGTTTTATTTTTTACCTAACCTGATGCCTCTGGTTATAAAGAGTTCACCTCAAATGAGGAAAGGGTATTGACCAGTGTGCTTCCTTGGAGTTCACACGAATTTTACCTCATTCTGTAGATCTCAGCTTTATTTTAATTTGTACCTACAGACATGTCAATAGATAACACTTTAGTGCAATAATTATTAGAGTCTCAAAAGTCTTATGGCTTGAGAGGTTATATCTAGGCTGACTTCTGGGGACACCTCCAGTATAATGCCTTTCCAACGTATCCTCAAGGAAACCAAAAATCAGAGCTTTCATCATTCATATGAGAGAAACTACACTGAATTTTCCTGAGGCAAAATCAATACACAAAGATATAACATAATGAAGTATCAAACCATTTGCTTCTACAGTATGCCTGTGTGAAAATGAGATCCCTGCCTGTCTACATTCATGTGCTGCTTCTCTTCACATCATTTTTGCTAGCTGCTCCTCCAGGGTGTTATCCACTGCTCTGTAAACAACAAAACTACATGTTTGCACAATTATTAATGCATTTAGCAACTGCCCTTGGATGTTCTTAGTTAATTCATGGATGCGAACTGCATCTTTAAGAGCTGCTCACCGGTCTTTCCTAGGCAACGTATGAGCTCAACAAGAGCAGGCTGAATAAAAGGCCCTACAAAAGCACAGCTCATTTTTTAATTATGTGAGAACCAGAACTTGACTCCCTGCTGCCCCAAACACTACGTAAACCATGTTCTTTGCTCCAAATGTTAAAAGTAAGCCCCAATGCCAAAGCTATTAAATACGTTCATACACTGAAGGTACACGTAAGAAGTCATTACATAATGAAAAAGCAGCTGGGTATAATATAACAAAGAGTTACATGTGCTTTCATTACACATCTTCCACATGAAGGATATGTCAAAGCTCAATATATTAGAAGTTTTTCTTTTGCACTTGCCTGAAAATAAGTATGACCTAAGCCTCTTGTTACTGTCCAACTTTAGGGGTACTTGCACACTCATATTTCACTGTAACTTCGAAGTGATTTTCTTCTCATCACAAATCTTTGACCTTTAATTTTACCTTTTTGGGAACCATGGGTGAAAATGTTGCACATGTCTACCACAGCAAGTTATCACATCCTGGTAACATCACATACAGCCTAGCAGCTGGAGGTTTGCACAGCTAATCTCAATTCTAACTTCAGTTAAAATGACAAAGAACCGGAATAAAATCTTCTCTTGAGCAAAACTACACATGGCTCCTCCCCTCCCAAATGAAATCAATAACCCACTGGAAGAGTTTAGAACAAAGTCATAAGATTTTGGCAGTACAGTCCAGAAACTAATAGGTAAACATTAAATTATAAAAATAGTTTTAAAAATCATTCCTACCCCTTCCTTTCTTCTACACTTGAATATTCTAGTAAAATTTGTAATAAAAAGCAAAATATTTTGCAGTACTTAATAACAACATCTTGTCAAATACAGTACAGCAACACTAGCTCAGAGTAGTCAGTTTTATTTTTATTTAATACACTGGGGCTCAACTAATCGGACCCTTTACTTCTAGCATAAAATAAAAGATTGAAAAAATACACCTTTAAAATAATTTTAAAGAATCCTCCTGAATCCAAAGAGTGCTATCCTCTCAATAATCCACTGAGAAATTAACAGTCCATTTATGTTGCATGAAGTCCTGTTTTAGTCACAACATTCCTGACATCTCTAAAAATGAATAAAGATTAAATTTTCTATTCTTTTTTTTTTTTTTTTAGAAATGCTTACAACATGACATAATCTTCACTTTACACATTCCAGATTTTAAAAGAGCAAAAAACCCCACCCCCAACTACCCATGCTTTCCAGTGGTAGGATAATTCTGTTCAAAACCAAAAGAGAACTCATCCTTTTACCAGGTGCCGAAAAAGAGCACTTGTGTACTTGGTTTAGATATGCAAGGGTAAATCCTCTTACCCTAAAACTGGGAAACTGCTAAAGAATTATTTGTTTTATCCATCTGAATTAGGTACTTACTCTTCGAATTGTTTCATGCTATGCTGTTTGAAAGATATGACTATTTAGGAACAAATTGCAATCTGCAATATGGAGTTCAGTAGTATTCCCCCATGCATGAAATGAAGTAGGGGTAGGTAATAAAACAAACATTTTTAGAAAAAGTAATTATTTTATGTTAGACTTATTATTAGTTTCTAAGTCCCAAGATGATGCTCAATGATTTGTAAACATTCTGTCTTAAAAACTATGATAAAATCCCCCCAAAACAGAAAAGACAAGCACTCTGAAAATGCCACAATCAAGACTGTCAAGGATCTTTTCCCAATTTCTTCTACTTACCTCCAAAATGAAAGAGAATAAAACAGCGTACTTCATCTAGTCATGAATGAAAAAGAATAAGACAGGTCTTGGATAGGAAAAGTATGAATAACTGTATGAAGCAGGTGGCAGCTGGGATCTTGAAGATGCTGGATGCTATTTTAAAACTTTGCTTTCTTTGCAAATGCTGAGGCAATTTAAAAAAAGGACTAGTTAAATAGGTCAAAAATAATAATGAAAATATATTTGTCATATCACATTGTTATCATTCAGTCCACTTGAATGAAGAAAAGCATTTAATAACAGCATTATATATCTGCATCCAATACACTGGCTAAGAGGCAGATTGTGCCTCTCAGAGGCTGATTTGCCAGGGGCACGCAAAACAGGAAAAAGATTAAGGGAAAAGGCCACAGAAAAAAAAACCAAAAACCTCAAAGCCAATACACCCAGGAAGGGATGTTTCTCACAACCACCAAAATGCAGATGGAGTCAGTGCAGATAAGGAGGTAGCTCTTAAACACATCTGCTCTAGCTATCAATGCAGGGAATCCCAGGGTAGAAAAAGCACCACACCTAAGCAAATAGTTTTACTATTACTTCTTAAGAGAATACATTAAGGTCAGTACTGAACAATCTCAAAGAAATCTGAAAGGTGTAAACTTATGCAGAAAACAAAACCAAAAGTAGCATGCAGAATGGCTGTGGTGAAAAATCTTCTCTTCTTAATGTTACCTGTTGTTAGTGCCACAGTTCAGTAACCTCAAATTATGAATATATTTTTTCAAATACCAACCTGTTGACTCATCTTAATGAAGAGCTTCTACACGAACTATTTGGGAGGTCAGGACCGTAGAAGCTGCAGCTATGAAAATGACTGATATTCAGTTGCACAGTCAAGCTCATATTCCTGCCAGTTCTGACCTACTCACCAATAGAGTGTCAGAAATGGATGA